ATTTAAAGACATTTTTGCCTTTTTAAAAAAATATATATATTATCAGAAAATCGTAAAACACTTTTTTTTTTAACTAAGGACGAATCGCCCAACGATTTTTAACGCATATAACAGATTTAAGTGGAATTTGTTTATAATTTAAATGGTTAATCTCATAAAAAATACACAACTCTTTACTTTTTACAAAGTAAAAATAAAAATATATTTTCATTTTTTGAAAGTAAATATGATCTCATCTCTATTTTTCAAAATTAATTTTTGTGTAAAATTATTGGGGTTTTATATTCATGTATATACTCATATACATGTACAAATGTTTTGTTAACGCCATTGATTTTCTTAATTGTTAAGAATATGTTTATTTGTAAAAAGAGAATGTAACATCACTTTTATCACAAAAGTTATACCATAGGAGTTAATTATATTGTCATCTACGTAAAAGTGTACGCATCTTATTTCCTACTTCCAACATGTATTTATCAAAGAAATAAAAAAAAAAAATCAAATTCATTCTTTCGTTTTAAGACGTATCTTGCATTACCTTGGGCAAAATGAACATACACATACCTGTAAAAAGCAAGAAGCCAGTATAGGAGCTGCTCATTCCTGCCCAAGACAATCAGGGACTGGAACAATCTTTCAAAAGGAACGGTTGAGGCGACAACACTAGACACATTTGTGTCTATTGCCTCAAGCCTTCAAACCAAGAAGCCAGTATAGGAGCTGCTCATTCCTGCCCAAGACAATCAGGGACTGGAACAATCTTTCAAAAGGAACGGTTGAGGCGACAACACTAGACACATTTGTGTCTATTGCCTCAAGCCTTCAAACCCAGTGCATGATTCCCTCACAAAGTGGCACTGGAAATCTGTGAAATTTCCTCATCAACACCAGGAACAGAAACATTGCAAATCCCATCTACATGCATAGGAGCCAAAATGATCAATAAATTGATCGTGGGCCCTTAAGATATAGAAGAAGAAGAAGAAGTGAATAAAACATCTCTTTTTTCACAAATGTAATACCATAGGATTTAAATATATTGTCAACCAAGTGAAAATGTACACATCATATTTCCTACCTTTGATATGTATGTAACAAAGAAGGTTTATTATTTATCAAATTCATTCCTATACTTTGAGACCAATCTTGTGCTGCCTTGGACAAAATGAGCATACATGTATTTGTAAAAAAAAAAGAAAATATTAAACCATCTTCATTTGTCAAAATTTAAATAAAAGCGAATTTAAAATATTCTTTTCGCATTAAAATTTATTCGATTTTCGTAAAATTATAGAAAATAGCTATGATTGTTTTTAAGAATCCGAACGTATTTTACGTCAGTGTATCTCATTATTGCAATGACGCCATTTTTTACTACAGTAACTTCAGTACAATACATTTATTTTTACTAAGTCTGATGTTGCAGAAAGCTGCATTCATCTGTTGTATAGTATTTTCATTGAATGAGAGTTAGTTTGTTAAACGAAATCAGACTAAAAGATGCGTTTCCTTGCGACAAATACCACCAGATCTTTCTATGCCTTTAACCAACTGATGTTCTATGTTTTTACAGCAATCATTAATATGTCTTTGTTACTAAAATTATTACATTTATTTGAGTGTCTTTACGACAAAATGAGATAGTTGTTTCCTATATTTGAAACTTACTGTTTATAGCTATTAAGAATTTTAAAAGCAACAAACAATGGGTATATTTTAGTGTTAGAAGATAACATTTCGTTAAAAACGCTCCTAATGAAGTTAAAATGCTTAGAGAACATATACACAAAAACATATTTAAAAAACTCAAGGTGTTTCATTTTTAGGTTAAATGTATAGGGCGAGTATAGATTATGTGTGCACTACTAAGATGCACAGTTTGCAAAGCTTCAGAATGTTGTAATGAATCGATATCCAAAAATGACATACAACACAGTCAAATTACGGCAACATTTACTTTAATCATGAGCCAATGAATATATTTTTTAATTAGGACTTAACTGTCTTAACTCCGTGGGTTTCCAGTATTTCACTAGTGGAGTTGTGCTTCAAATAATGTGTTGGTACTTAAAAGACACAATTTCAATAATCTCTGCATACATTTAATTTATTACATATTTCAACACAAAATTGTATGCTTGAAATACATTGAGGTCAACTCTTGTCACATAATTTTAAATACAAAAGCATGTTTCTAGCTAGATTCTCGATTCAAGTTAAAGCAAAAATAAAAGATTAAAAGTTTATTAAGAAATTATTCAATGCACACTTGGTCAAAACGAATTTAAGAAACTAAAAGCGAATCTTGACTTTAATTACATATTGGTGTTCTCGTTCATAGAAAGCTTTTATTTGTTCTCTTTCATTTACATTGTTTCACTTTATCTCAATCCAAGAGTTGTCATGTTAAACTATTTATTTTTAGTGGGCGTAAAATTGTTTTTTTTTAAAATTGCATCTCTTCGAACCTAGTGACAACCTCTACCATTGTACTGAGCTAACACCAAATTTTATTTGGTTATTCCTCTTTGATGGTTCTAGTTATTTTTTCCTTTTCATATGGTGAGTGTAACATTCCTATATTAAATGGGGAAATATTTTGATTCAAGATTGGCAGAAATAAAATTAAAAATAAATCTGGATATTCCCGATTTGACTAGTCTGTTTCAATTTCGTCGACAAGATTTGTGTAAGTTGGATTCATTTAAAACATTTATCTTTTGCTTTTTTTTAAAAGTATTCTTGATCTTGAAAAGGGTATTGAAATATGTTACGTTTGTATCATTATAATACTTCAATATGCCTATTTATTTATTATTATATTTATTTTGAAGATCCCCATTAAAGGTGATGTGAATTCTGAAACTTACGACAATTATCCCACGAAAGTGATAAAAGGAATACGGCCTGTGGCAGTTTAAACGACTGGACCACATTCATCTCAATTTAAAAACATAAGGACAGTTGTTGAATTAAACCTGAAGTTAAAATCAGTCTTATATTTCATTATATGATTGAATTGCCTTAGTCAGTGGTGTAGCTAGGGTTGGTGTCACCGGTTTGAGGGAAATACATGGTGTCACCTCCCCCCCCCCCCAAAACCGACTTCCATGATGGATTTATTTTTGTTAAAAAAGTCCACAGTATAACAATGACAAAAAAAAATAGCACATTAATTTATTGTCAGTAGGTATATGTATTTAAAAACTGTAACAACGTTAAGTTATTGTTATTGTTACATTAAATTTACTTTAAATAAATTTGTATTTCCTTGGCTTCAAAGCTGCCAACCTTTCAATCACTTGATCAAAATCAATATCCTTCACCATATCACTTTTAATTGATATTAGAGCCAGATATAAAAAAAAACAATCTTGACTTTCCCATGGTGGATCGAAAAAGGTTACGATAAGCCTTAGTTTTAAAAAGCACCGCTGACATGACGCCATAGAAAAAACTGATCGTAAAAAACAATTGAAGGCTTTGCGAGAGTATTTGAAGAAATTCTATGAAGTCCCATTCAACTATAACTTTCAAAAAATCAAATTCTGACCCGTCCATGATTTTGTAAAATTCAATGTCAACTGCCTTTATGTGTCTTCAGACGTTGGTATTTAGTTTAAAAATTCATCTTCCGATAACTCATAAAAAGTGTTTAGTTTTGGAACGGACATCAATAACTCTTCTCCACTTGCTGATAATGGACTCTTGCGTTGAACAGCCCCACACATATCTGCTACTTACTTTATCACAGATGATCTGATCTGGATTTCAGAATAAAAGCGATCATTACATTCCAACATCTCCCGTTTTCTTCCCGCAGAGAAAGTCCAGTATCTCTTATTTGTTCTCCCGCCATCCTCTTCAGCAATCTTAATCTTCTCTCTACCAAATTGTTCTGATTTTTAAAGTGTCTTTTCAATAGCATGTTCCATCAAGTGGCACATCGTATTTGGTGTAAATATAAAGCTTTAAAAGTCAGAATTTAGATAAATATCGCTTTCTGTCACGAAAGCTTTAGAAAATTTCAATCGGTGTTGAGGCATGGTCAGTAGCATGTTGATCCGACCTGATCATACGGTCAACTCATTTATAAGTCATCGACCTTGAACTTTTAATACAGCACGCATTTGGATTGTTTATGTGTGTATAAAATTACATGTGATAGATTACCCTTTTACGAAATTCTGTTAGAGCAGTCTAAGCTCTGTAAATATGCAATTTTTGGTGCCACACCGGAGATGGTGTCATCCTTTTAGGAAATTTTGTTAGAGCAGTCTAAGCTATGTAAATATGCAATTCAATTTATTGGTGTCACACTGGAGATGGTGTCATCCTTTTAGGAAATTTTGTTAGAGCAGTCTAAGCTATGTAAATATGCAATTTATTGGTGTCACACCGGAGATGGTGTCATCCTTTTAGGAAATTTTGTTAGAGCAATCTAAGCTCTGTAAATATGAGTTTTATTGGTGTCACACCGGAGATGGTGTCATCCTTTTAGGAAATTTTGTTAGAGCAGTCTAAGCTCTGTAAATATGCAATTTATTGGTGTCACACCTGAGATGGTGTCATCCTGTTCGGCCCACACACGCCTAGCTATGCCACTGGCCTTAGTAAAATGATGATTGTTCGGTTTTGCAGAAGTTTGTTATACAAAGATTCTTTTTCAATTTTAAACTGGTCCATAATTTGATGATCCATGTTTTTAATTTCCCTGAAAGGAAAAAATAGGGATTCTACAAAAACATATACGAATAATAAAAGAGAGAAAAATTAATGTTGAAGGACATTTTTTCACCCCAAAAAAATCAAAATCAGTTGTATGCTTAGAAAAATTTAAACACTTTTCTTATTAATGCAGATTGATTTTTTTACATTAATTGTACAGGAAATTTAATACACCCCAATTCAAGATCAACAATATGCTAACGAAACCGGAAATAGCATGTTCTATCATTGGATGTATATCTTATGTGAGAGAAGATGAAGAACTCCAGGATTTCGTTGTTGAAGTTGAAGGCAAAGAATTCAAATGTCATCGTCTGATACTCAGCGCGTGTTCTGGATTTTTCCGTGGTCTTCTCAGGTCTGGGATGAAAGAGTCGCAGAAACGGAAAACAAAACTTGAGGGGGTCTCCATGGAAACATTTGCGTCCATTTTAGAAATTCTCTACACCGGATGTGACAATGTGACACGTGACAACATGCTTAATGTCTGGCAGGCTGCCGATCAACTTCTAATAAAATTTGTCTCTGATAATTGTGTAGATTTTATAAAAAACAATATTTGCAATGAGACTGTCATCTCAGTTTGGAAAGTAGCATCTCAACTGATGAACAACAATATCATAGAACTTTGTGTAACGTTTCTTAGAAACAATACAACTCTGGCAAACTGGGAAATTATATATTCGACTGCAAATTTTTTGGGTTCAGATTTGATTTTGTCACATGTTCGAGATTTCGTCAAGAAAAATTATGAACACGTCATCAAATCTAACGCATTTCTGTGCCTTCTTTACAATGATTTACTTGAAATTATACAAAGTCAAGACTTGGTTGTCTCTTGTGAGGATGTTGTCATTGAGTCTATTTTTAAATGGATTAAATGTGACAGAACAGATAATTCAAGGACGATGAATGTTGGTCTTAGTCAGAATAGAAGCGGGGATTCTTTTGGAGTTGGGCAAGGAGCAAATACTACACAAATATTCCATGATGGACAGTTCCTGTTCACAAGAGATACGAAAGGAAGCAATGCCGCTTTTCCAGAATGTTTAAACCAAGAGCGTCAAACATATTTTGAAAGTCTTCTTTTAGAGACAAGACTCTGCCTCGTTAACTCTGTTACTCTAGAAAAACTTTCCCGTGACACTTTAGTGATGGGCAACGAAACAACAAGAGAAATGTTAATGGATGCCTTTTTATATAAATCTACTGGACTTCAAAATGGCGTTTGGCCAAAAGCAGCCGTTCATAGGATTTGTAGTGATTTAGTGAATGTTGTAGTCATTGGTCGTGGATATGGAATTTTTATGGCTGGTTCGTACCACCCTAAATTTAAATGGGTAGAAATTCCTGAATGTAAGTATCTGGCCGCGTGCACTTCTGTAAATATGATTTCTTATATGACAGATTTTTTTGCAATCGGTGATTTAGATGAGAGTAGCAAGTTGTGTTATTTCGTTAAAAATGATTGGCTTCAGGTCAAGAAACTGCGCGGTATCGGATGGCTGGGTGTGGCTGTTGAAGGATTTATCTATTTAATCAATTCTTTTGATCAAAGAATCAAACGATTTGATCCAAGACTTGGAAATAGTTTTCTTGAAAACTTGATTAGTTTCCCCGCAAAGAATGAAATTGAACACATTTGTTCATTTGATTTGTTCATATTTGCTTTTTGCTCAGACAGAAGTGACGAGACAGCTGTACATTGTCTTGACACAAGGTCTCAAAGATGGACAAGGCTTGACAGACTTGAAGGGTCAGCCGAAAATATTGTTAGCTTCAGAAAGGAGAAAGACTTGTATGTGCTTCAAAGAAATGGTAACCTTTGGAAAATTGACCGTGACGAATGGCAAGGTGTAAATATGAATTTGGTTGAAGTCATTTCATGTCATAACTTTGAGATTTGTGGTGCCATCTATGTTGACAACACACTTCGTCTTGTTTTAGGGGAAAGGAAAATTCCAGATAAAACTTTCTCCATTTTTTCAAAACACTTTGGGGAAATAGTTCCTTGGTTTGGAAGGGTATATTGGTCTAATATTGTTCCCGCTGTTATCAAAAAGTCATGTCTTGGTAAAGTATGACATTAACAGAAATTGAAGATATTTTTACCATTTCCTTTAGACTATATTAGTATAACAAGCTAAGGCTGTCTGTCACGGTCTTTAACTATTTTTGTTCGAAGGCTTTATAGGCCGAAACGTTCACATTCTGTTATTGTCCCTCAGGTTTTCCTCTCTCCATTTTATATTTTTTATTGCTACCCGTATTTCTTTCTCTAGCCTTTTAAAGGAAGTACTAGTGGTGTTGAAAATTACGTTAGATGATAACATAGTTCAAGCACGTACGTAAAGTAAGCTTTGTCGTATCTATTGGTTTAACGTCCTGTTGTCTCTTTTATTAATTTTTATTACCAACTTGATACAGTACATATGTTTGGGGAAGGGAGAATCGCAAAATATTGCTACTTAGCCCCAAATCAGCATATAGTAAGGCTACATCACAGAATCGTGGGTGCATTTAATAAGCACAGCAGTGTCCCAAAAGCACAATTTTTTACACACGGAAAAAGTGTTAATCCATAGTAGATTTTCATTGTTTTTACAAAAAATATATAAATGTTTCAAATTTATTATATGTTTCTTAAAAGAAAACAAACCAAAAGTTGCTTTTATGATTGTCTTTTTTTACTGACAACAGCAAAATTACGTCGTAGAGTTTGAGTTGAAAACAGTCCAAGATACCGAACAATAAATACAACATAACGCTATACCGGTATTCATCAATATGGAAATGGTGATGTTTTTATGAGTTGTATGTGTTATGTAAAAATTTAGATGATTTTAAATCAATCAATAAGATATTACTGCTCATCCATGTATCTTTCTGGTGTAATGTTTCTCTACTATATGCATGAGAAAATATAAGTTTATACCATCAAGGTTTCTCCTGCATAATTGTATCTTAACTAATTTCAGTATTCCAAGTTATTTCCCTTCTCTTCAGAAGAAAAAGCTGACGTGGTTTGACTTCTTGTAAACAAAGTATCTCGTTCATGGTTGCGGACCTAAAAGTCTCTTCTGATATGAGCTTTATAAATAATTAAATAAGAAAGAGATCTAGACTAAATGCTAGTTTAAATGCACTTCGTAATCTATGCTAAACGGGGGGATTTTGATCTCATGGCATCAATCACTTTTGGGGCCAGGAATACTAATCTCCTCTTCCTTATAAAGGTTCATATCTTTTATCTTTCATCCGATTCTAATGGGACTAATATTACATTGAATTTTGAATATTTATCTGATGAATTATTTAGGGTCTCTATCTTAGTAATAATGAGAACCGGGGCCTTTATTTTATCTTTAATAAACAACGTCTATAGTTTCAGATGCAATATTAACAAAATAATTATTACTTTAAATAGTTTGTTTTTTTCCTTTAAAGTTATTTAAGTTTTCTTTTAATTATAGAATTTACCCACATGTTCCGTATTGTTTCACGTAGATATGAAGATTATGTAAATGTCAATGGAATCTAGAGTTTATGGAACTTTTAGTTTTGTTGTATTAAATTTCTATACATTCCCGAGAATTTACTCGGTATCGGTGAATGTATCTAGTCAATGTATCTAGTCAATGTATCTAGTCAATGTATCTAGTCAAAGTTTCTTGAAGTTTTTACTTTTACTTTAACATTTGATTTTTTAAAAAGGAATTAAAAATTATATGAATGTAACTTTATATAACTCTATATGATTTTACCTAAATGTTATGTGATGAGACTTAAAGATATTTAAGTTCCATTATGTATCCTTATTATGATAGCCAAATCTATAAACAAAGGCTCGGGTAACTTTACAATCTTTAACGTAAATTAATGCTTATACACCAACGTTTTATATACACTTTTTGTGTTACCTTGTAAAAACATCGGTAGATTTCAAACTATTACCATCGTCTTTTTGTGCAACTGGTTCCACATGTTATGTTTTGTGCGCCTGCCAGAATTGTGTATGAAAGTGTTGTTGATCCAGAGTTGTTAAATAGTTTTGTAAGATCAATAAACAAGTCTGTTGTTTTCATTCTGTGTTAAGACGGAGTGCGAGTAGTGTGTTGATGGTATCATTTGAGGGCTAGGAGTTAAGTTTTGTAGTGTAATAAGAGTAAACCCACGTTGGTCAGTGTGTCATAGATTCATCATAGTTTTAGTGTTAGTGTAGTGTGGATTATTTTGAATGGCGTTTTGTGAACATGCAGATAGAATCATGTATAAACTGTGATGCTGATAGAATCATGTAGAAACTGTGATGCTGATAGAATCATGTAGAAACTGTGATGCTGATAGAATCATGTAGAAACTGTGATGCTGATAGAATCATGTAGAAAATGTGATGCTGATGGAATCATGTAGAAACTGTGATGCTGATAGAATCATGTAGAAAATGTGATGCTGATGGAATCATGTAGAAACTGTGATGCTGATAGAATCATGTATAAACTGTGATGCTGATAGAATCATGTAGGAACTCTGATGCTGATAGAATCATGTAGAAACTGTGATGCTGATGCAATCATGTATAAACTGTAATGCTGATAGAATCATGTAGAAACTGTGATGTTAATAGAATCATGTAGAAACTGTGATGCTGATAGAATCATGTATAAACTGTGATGCTGATAGAATCATGTATAAACTGTAATGCTGATAGAATCATGTAGAAACTGTGATACTGATGGAATCATGTATAAACTGTGATGCGGATAGAATCATGTAGAAACTGTGATGCTGATGGAATCATGTATAGACTGTGATACTGATAGAACCATGTAGAAACTGTGATGCTGATGGAATCATGTAGAAACTGTGATGTTGATAGAATCATGTAAAAACTGTGATGCTGATGGAATCATGTATAAACTGTGATGCTGAGAGAATCATGTAGAAACTGTGATGCTGATAGAGTCATGTAGAAACTGTGATGCTGATAGAATCATGTAGAAACTGTGATACTGATGGAATCATGTAGAAACTGTGATGCTGATGGAATCATGTATAAACTGTGATGCTGATAGAATCATGTAGAAACTGTGATGCTGATGGAATCATGTATAAACTGTGATGCTGATAGAATCATGTATAAACTGTGATGCTGATAGAATCATGTAGAAACTGTGATGTTGATGGAATCATGTATAAACTGTGATGCTGATAGAATCATGTTGAAACTTATGCTGATAGAATCATGTATAAATTGTGATGCTGATAGAATTATGTAGGAACTCTGATGCTGATAGAATCATGTAGAAACTGTGATGCTGATGGAATCATGTATAAACTGTAATGCTGATAGAATCATGTAGAAACTGTGATGTTTATAGAATCATTTATAAACTGTGATGCTGATAGAATCATGTAGAAACTGTGATGCTGATAGAATCATGTATAAACTGTGATGCTGATAGAATCATGGAGAACACGTGATGCTGATAGAATCATGTAGAAACTGTGATGCTTTTAGATCCAGCTTGCAACTGTAATGCTGACAGGTTTATTAAAATAAAGAATTGTATTATTTGCAACGCGTTGCTTATATTGCCTACAGTCAAATGTAAATGTGGACGAAAGAATTCGTTGTATAGGTCAGTTCCTTATACAAATTATAAGAGTGTTGGACTGCGATAAAACTTTCATGTAGTTTAGACACAAACAATATTTCAAAAAAGAAAACATCAAATTTCCCTATACAAAAAAAGCCTTGCAAACTGCCTGTTCCTTAAGTGTTACTACTTCGATAGTTAATAAATTAACTCGCCATAAGAAGCTAGTTCGTTCGTGAAAACAATTTTATTTTCAAGAAAACTCTTTATCTTTGGCAATTGTT